CTGCTCCAACGTTGCTGCTGACGGCGATGCCCCCTCCGCTGCTGCTGCTGTCTGTGGTGACGCTGCCGTCAAAGGTGGTTTCCAAGATGTAAACAAAAGGGAAACCCCATGACATGAGTTTATTTTCCAACATCCTTCATTTGCAGTTGTAGAAAAAGCCATGACACTGCTAAGAGAATAAACTGAGGCACACAAAATGTTTCAAGCTGATTTAAGGACATCAATGGATGGCTTTTGACTCCACGGTGTCTCTAAAACAAGTTATATCTTGGCCTATTCGTCCACCCAATTACACATTCATCTGTTAAAAGATANAGTGGTCTTGTATGTCTTCCATTTTCTATTAATTGCTCCCACAGTTGATTTCTTCACACCAAGCTGCTTACTATTGCAGATTCAGTCTTCCCAGCCTGGTGCAGGTCTACAATTTTGTTTCTGGTGTCCTTTGACAGCTCTTTGGTCTTGGCCATAGTGGAGTTTGCAGTGTGACTGTTTGAGGTTGTGGACAGGTGTCTTTTATACTGATAACGAGTTCAAACAGGTGCCACTAATACAGTTAACGAGTGGAGGACAGAGGAGGCTCTTAAATAAGAAGTTACAGGTCTGTGAGAGCCAGAAATCTTGTTTGTTTGTAGGTGACCAAATACTTATTTTCCACCGATAATTTGCAAATAAATTATTTAAAAATCAGACAATGTGATTTTCTGGATTTTTTTTTCTCATTCTGTCTCTCATAGTTGAGGTATACCTAGGATGAAAATGACAGGCCTCTCATCTTTTTAAGTGGGAGAACTTGCACAATTGGTGGCTGACTAAATACTTTTTTTCCCCACTGTATATCTTGGTTAAAGGCTTATTTGTCCACCCAATTACACATTTATCTCTTAAAAGATAGACAAACAGTCAAACTAGTAGTGGCAAGCTGAAGAATAATCCTAGGTAGATAGATGAATAGAATGTGAGAGGGTTAAGTAAAGATAAGAGCTCCTTTGATAGCGTCTAAAACAGGAAATCAGGGCATTACATCGGAGCCTAAACTAAATGGAGATAGCTGGGTCAGCAGTGAGACGCCAGGCCAGAGCAGTGGTCAGAAGTCAGTGGGAGGGAACGTGATTAGAGCTAAACCTGAATCAAAGGCGACCTGAAAGACATTCCCTGCGATCAAAGCGCAACATCCCTCAAAAGGAGGATGAGACAGCAACAAAAAAGAAAGGCTGAGGTAATACCTGTAAACCTAGACAGACACAGTCTGCTGACCGCGAGGCAGTTCTCTCTGACTCAAATCCCCGGCAGTTATCCTGAGTTGCCCCGCTTACCACTCAGCCGTGGCAGCCGTTGTAAGGCGCTACACTTTGATGATCCCCAAACAGAGAAGTTTTTGTTTTCCACCACAATACATTTGATATACTTCTCTTTGAGCAGTGCTGAAGTAGCAATGTGAACATAAAATGAATTTAAGACCTAAAAAATACCAAATAATAGCAATTTTATCTTTATTAATGTGTCTTTTTCACATTCTTGACAAACGATCCAGCATAACGATATGGATATTTATGTTACCTTCAATGTTCTGTTTATTCTCTGAGACAGTGGGATGGATGCTTTGAAAATGAAAGTTAAAAATACATCTTTACCTGTGTGAGACCTGAGTTCCTCGTAAACTGGACATGGTCTCCTCCAGGTTTTGCCGCAGGTCGGCGATGTTCTTGACTGTACGCAACCGTCTCGTCTCTGGGTCTTCACCTGAGTAGGGCAAAATAGGAAAAGAGTTTAGGGATATTTACCAGCACAACAAGCCAAACACATACCCTTCACCGTCAGCGATCACACACCTGAAAGGTCCTCAATGGACAGCTGGCTGCTCTTGGTGAAGGAAACGTCTCCTCCTCTTCCTCCTGAGCCGCTCTCAGTGTCCTCCGTATCCAAGCCGTCTGTTTGCGATCTGGGAAAAACAATAGGTTGACAGATCAGAAGGGGGGTGTCATTGATTCTGAATTATTGTGCCTTTAGTGGGAACATAATATTAGGCAAATTGTCACGAAAGAGGGATAAACCTGATTAGGAATGTTTCAAGTCTTGTGACCAGAGTCCAAAATGAACGCCTGCTTAGCCCCGAATGCCGGTTGTCTTTGAAGGATAAATCGATACAGTTCCCCCGCTGCACTGGCTGGTGCATTTAGAGACGATGACGTTTGAATGCCTTGGTTATTCCCAGCCTTTGGTCTTTGCCTGATCCCAGACTTTGTCCCTGTCGACTAATGCGCACTCTGAGTGTTAGCCACTCAAAACCAAGGACTGCCTCTTACTCTGCTCCACAATAAAACGCTTGTAAAGTTTTCTAGTTGAGACTTGAAGTTATGTTATTGCACTGACATTTTTCCTTGCTAGTATCTATCAATTAAGACAGGGTGATTTATTTGTAGTTTACCAGTCCTTGGCAAGGGAGGGAAAAAGCAATGATTGATTTTACATTTCTTATTTTCCGTCAAACATACTCTTTCTGACAGGCGGAGGTGACATAATCCTGCTGGTAATGGTACCTGACAGGTAAACAGCAACAGAAAAAATACTGAGGATGGGAGTGCTGTGTAAAGGTGGGTCAGTTAGCTACAGGTCAGGATGTACAGAGGGAGAAAGGGCAGTGGGGCAGGAAGTGTCATGAGGCTAATGAGCGGCTGTGGGGAGAATCTGTGGAGAACCAGAGGGACCGGCTTCCTTATCACACTGGGACCGGGACCAGAGGTCAGAGGCACACAACATCCACACATATTTGCCAAGATACAAGTGCACACACATGCAGACAATACACTCTGCGTACACACACAGGAACAGACACATATGTGGCATTCCTAGTTAACAGTTCACAGATAGTAAAATTCAGTTTTTGTTATTTAAGATGCTAACAGAGAATAAAATGTCAGATATTTGATGACTTCTCGCACTCAGACTTGTATAATCCTAGATACAGGGTTATACACCACTATTGTGGTTATTTACAAGCTTGGAAAGGCAAGAACAGCTTATCCAGAACTGTTATCAAATATACGACTGAACAAATATACACCAGTAAATATTTGTCAACTTCAAATACTCCCTGAAGAATTCAACCTAACCACTTCTGGAAAATGTGCAGCGTGTAGGATGTGCAATGTGCAACAGTTTATGACTTTATTTTATCAGTGAAGCTTGATCTCACTGTTGTGTCCGGCTATTTATAGTATGTATCGATAAAGTTATACCAAGGGGCACAAACTAAAGGTGAGCAGGGTAAAACATACCTAATATATACCACTGTTACATTTCCCTATATGAGGTTCTACCGTTAGGACCATCTTTGGGGAATATTATGTCTACATATACAAATGCATGGGCTTTATCTAAAGCTAACTTATTGTTGGTTAAGGATAATTCTTCAAACGAAAACAGTGTGTAAAATTAAGAGCTAAATGGGGACTAGTTTGAAAGAAATCATGCTATAAAAAGCTAAATCTCAATTTTAAATGTTTTGCAATAAAAACGATGTTGTGCGTCTCTAACCATAAAGCATGAAAGACGACCACCCATTTAAGGTTTTCCTACAATAAACATTTTATAGTCATAAATACATGTGACAGGACCAGAGATATCATATTAACTTTTCTGTTATTTCTCCTTGTCTGCTAACCTCACATTCCACTACCACAGAATTGGCTAATTGTCCATGTTTCCATACACAACGTTTATCAGATTTTCCACAACAGGCTTAATACAAGTTTTTCACACGCAGTAGCCTTACCCAAAGCATGTAAATAGATATGTAACATAGGTGGAGTTTCCCTTTAACGTTACTCATCACCCTCTCCTTTCGGTAACTGCTCTAGGATCCTTCAAAAATATATATCTTTTAAGGTTAGAGATGCACGTACACTTGTGATTTATCTTATTTTGTACTAAAAATCTGTATGGAACCAATGTCAGTGTGCCTTCTCACCTGTACATGAAAGGTGCGACGGTGGCGGTGTTGGGGTGGCTGTGGTGCTGTTGAGTCTGAGGTAGCTGCACGCTGATGGTGTTGCTGGCTGTGCTCTGTGTGGAGCCTCCCCCCGCCCCAGAGGAGGCGCAGGCCTTCCCCTCTGTGGAGGCCAGGCTGGAGGTAGAGCTGGAGTGTCTGCTGTCCCTGTCCAGGGGCCCTCGGTGCATGGCGAGGCCCCCTCCTAACCGCATGCTCCGGGGCCTCTCCCCCGCCTCCTTCACTGAGGAGGCTTTCCCCCCGACTCCCGGGGCTTTGCCTCCTGGCTTTGGTATTCCGCTGTGTGCAGGGGTGGAACTCTCCTTTTTGGACACTTTACCCCCCTTGGGTATGAAGCTGGTGATTTTAGAGGTCCTTTTGTTTGAGCCGTCTGTGTCTGCAGTTACAGGTGCTGCTTCCTCCTTAAGCTCGTCTCCCCTGAGCTCCGTCCTGTCTGGGGCTGAGATGCGTTTCCCCACCTCCTTCCCCTTCTCCTTCCCTTTGTCTTTGTCCTTCTCTGTGCTTTTGACAGAGCTCTTCTTGGCAGTCAGAGCTCTGCTGAAAGTGCGCTGGGCGATGCCCCTCAGGGCCATTTTGGGGCTGCTGGCGGTGGTGGAGACAGTTGTAGCTGCTGATGGAGCTGCTCCGTAGGCCGTCCCGTTGCTGGTCCCGTTCATTCCCGGCCGGACGTTGCCATCGACTTCCTCCAGGGGGTCGGTGTTGGAGCCTGTTTCTGACCTCTCCAACTGCGCCGCTGCGAGCTGCCTGGCTAGGGCAGCGTTCTCCGCCTGGGCCCCTGCTCCATTGGAGGAGGAGGCGGAGGATTTGGAGCTTCCTTTACTGTTGAAAAGCTTTAGCTTCTCCAGCATTGACTTCTGAGCGACAACTTTAGGAGGAGCATCGGCCTTACAGGAGGAGTCCTTGTCCTGTTTGGCAGACTGCATGGCAGACGCGGCGGTGCTGATGGAGGATGAAGAAGTGGAGATGTGCTTGGAGCTCGCCGACTTGCTCCTCCAGGGTTTGCTATTGCTGTTGGGCTGGGGAATGGCCGTGGAGGAGGACGACGACGAGGAAGGTGGGGGAGGAATCTGGGCGGAGGTAGCTGCGGGGATGCTGGTGGAGGAGCTGATGGTCACTGCAGATGACGGAGCATGCTCAGTCATCACCGAAGGCTGTGAGGTCATGCCCTCTGAGGAGTCTGCAGCAGAAAAGAGAGGTTTCATTAACAATGAGATAAGAAGGTAAAGATGGAGAGGAAAATCAAGCCCAGGAGGAGAGAAGGGAAACCAGATGCTGAGACTTCTCTGACCCCACACACAGTGGCCTTATAAGGGCCTGGAGGTGGCCTGCCTGATGCAGCCAAACCTGCCATTACTTTCCTTCGGGCTGGCCACCAAAACTGTTAAAAACCCCTTAGCACTAACAATGAGAGAAGCCCATCACAAACTGTTTATAAAAACAATGAGGAGCAGACTCAAGTGCTTTAAAGTCTTTCCAAGCAGGCCGAGTGGAGGAGCGGTGCTGCTGCACTTATAAGGCTTGGACTTATATGGAGTGCTCTTGGTCAGCTTCCCTCTGCTTTACAAAGAACCACTGTGTGAAAACATGGACTCAGTCCTGTGTCAAATAGATTCATAAACGGTATAAAAACACAGGCTAACATGGACATGAACAGAAAGCCTTTTTTTGCAGTGTACACATGCTCCTGTAAAACTTTGTTACGATTTTTCACCTAAAAATAAGTTACCTGGATCAATATGTGGCTTGGCAGCATTTCAACTAGCACACTTACCAAGAGCTGAAGAGTGAGAGTAGACCTGGATCCCTGGTGTAAGTCTCTGCTCTTACTGAGACGCTAGAGTGTGCTGAGAGCTGCTGAGGTTGTCAGTGTCAGTGTGTGTGTGTGTGTGTGTGTGTGTGTGTGTGTGTGTGTGTGTGTGTGTGTGTGTGTGTGTGTGTGTGTGTGTGTGTGTGTGTGTGTGTGTGTGTGTGTGCGCGCACAGGGTGGTGCTACCAGCAGCACTGAGTTTAGACCAGTAACATTTGAATATTCAAACACCAATGGCCAGTGAGAGAGACAGACTGTGCAGGGAGCACTGGGAGGAATAAATCATATTTTCCGTTGCAACATACCCCCACACACACACACACACACATACCCCCACACACACAGTCTTTTATGTATTCCAGGTCACTGCTGTGGAGTTGTGCCTAGGCCTAGGTAATAATCTTAGACTTATGGGAGTTTAGGTGTTTAAAACACTGCATAATTGTGTGCTTTATTGACACGAGACAAAACACATTTCCAACTTGTTTCCAATACTGTATGTTTCACCTTGACTATTTACTTTTACATGTATATGGTCCCAGTGATGTTGGTTGAATTAATTTGAATAGTAAAAGTTGATTTGGAAAGGATAACAAAAATGATCTTACTTTATTGGATAGTGTTACAAATAAAAACAAGACATTTGCTGCTTAACCATATATACAAATACTAAATATGGATCTTTCCCTGTGATTTTTCTGGGGACAGTGCTCATTTGGTTATGAGTAAAGTTTCCTTTAATGCACGCCAGCAACATTAACGACATATTCATATGTTTCCATGTGTTCTCAATAAGTCAAAATGTACGCATATTATTAAACACTCATCCTGCTTGTTTACCCATTTTTCCTCTGGCTCTCCATTTTATTTCACTTTTACTGCACCTTTCATGTCCTAATTGGAAATAGGCACTCGTTGCCGCCTCTCTTTTTCTCCGCCGGTTTAGCATTTAATGCGAGCAGCCTGAAACAATGCAGCCATTAGGAAGTGATTAGAGCCCAATTAGCCGTGCTAGCAGTTAGCAATTGAAAAAGTGGGTCAGGTTGCTAATAGCTGGCGTCCTATTGGAGGAGGCTGAATGAGCAGGGGAACCTGCAGGTTTGGGATAAGTGCAGCATTGATATGGGCCAGCAGGATGGTCCATGCTGTCCGTGAATGGGCTCAGCTTGGATTTTCGGGTCAGAAAGGAACAGAGGAAGAAAGGCAGGACATGGAGAGGCCCCTGGACACTGGGGATAGCTGCTCGTTGTCAGGACCGGACCCAGTGACCGGGGCTGACACGCTCCGGTTGGGTTGGTAAGTGGGAAGGAAAGTAGCCAAACTTCAACGTATGGGGTCAGAAGTCAGACTCTAGAGGTGGACTTGGACACTGTTGCGTCATAAACCCAAGCAAACATTCCAGACAAAGATCAAAACATAAGTCTGTTTTAAAGAAAAAAATATATAGTAACATCAAATTCAAGTGTGGTTACACTTTTTCTGCCAAAAGGTGGGGTAGATTTCATTAAGGGAAAAAACTGCATGCATATTTCTTCAAGTACAGCCATGTGCTTCGTCAAGCTAGACAAAGTTCATTAACATAATAAATACACAGCGTTTTTTAGTGTTGGTGTCTATTTTCTGGTTTGTTATGAATTAAGTGTAGGTCATTATGTTGTATCATGTTATGTTTGGTGAACATAAAATATACAGAGAATTACAATGTATGACCATAAACAGATAGATACAGATCTGGTACAAAAATCTCTAGTAAAAATATACTGATCACAAATTCTCAACAAAACGGCTGCGTTTCAAGAAACCATCTTTTAATTATCTGCACAAAATACACTTCAGGAAACACTTTTCCCTTAAAAATAAACACAGAAGAGTCTAAACATGCCCACAGAATGGGTGACTGACCTAATGACCCACCCAGTGCAGCCTTGGGCGAGCCCCTGGAATTGAACCGCACATTGCCCCTCATTCAGAGCGCTGGGTGAGCGATGTGCTTGAGGAAACATGTTGAAAGAATTTCAGTGTTTACGACTCAACCTGCTCAATTATAGCAGTCATTAGAGAATAAAATCAAGAGCAGAAAATGACAGCAGTGGAGCGCCAAAAGGAAAAAGGACAACAGACCACCACTGCATTTCCTGTCTGCCATTAAAAAACCTGTCTCACTCTCTTGGAGCCTACTGATACTATCAAGGCATTTTAGGAAATTAATGGAAGTGCACCCAAGGCTCTTTTCATGGATGACCACACTCACGTGTCTGTGCGTGCGCTCTTTGTGTTAATGCCTGTCAGCCGAGGAAAACCATGTAATTCCACACAAGTGTCAACAATCCTTTGAGTGTGTGTGTGTGTGTGTGTGTGTGTGTGTGTGTGTGTGTGTGTGTGTGTGTGTGTGTGTGTGTTTACATGTCCGTGCATGCATGTAAAGTTTAAGAGAGAAGGGGATGTTTGTTCTGCTCTGCGACTTCAAACGATTTCACCAGCAGGACTGGTGACCACAGCAGATACACTGCAGTGTGACCAATCGCGCACATTGAGTTTAGCAGTAAATGCATGCAATGCAGAAGTAGCGTCCGCTGACACTGTTTAGACATCACAAGCCCTCAAACCCATCTCAAGGGCATACTGGCCACAGGACTTCTAAGTCAGTTAGCGACAAGATTGCTGACCTGAGAGTGCCCTTGTTTTGAAGTTACGGTTCACAGAAGATTCAAAGGTGAGAGCAATGTAAGAACACCATTTGATTGGCTTTGTTTCATTTAATCATATCTACATGGACAATTCGTTTTGGAATCTTCAAATGATATCGGAATACCGTCTAATATCCGACTGGAACACAGTTTGAGGCTGCAGGTATTTGCTTACTCATCACGTTCTGATTTCAATAGCCTGCGCTCTCTCGCTCTCTCTCCCTCCTCAGTCATTGTGCTCCAAAAAGTGAGAGGGACAGCCGGTCTTTTGTGTGGCCACTGAAACTTTTTAAAGTTTCTCCACATGAATACACTCAAACAGTGACGCTACAGCTCATCAGAAGCCTATTCATTCAGCCAGGGCACCGGCCATACACACACAGAAATACATCAGAGGCATGCACAACACACAAACACAGAACCACAGGTGCCCTGCTCTCTCGGCCTCTCTGCTCTGTGTCACTCGGTGAACACCCAGATACTGTCACCTTGTGTTAGCACAGCACTGCAGAGGAGACTCAGGTCCTCTGCCTCACTGTACAGCCGTGCAGCAACCATTCTGGTGTCAGAGCCATTGACACAGACCTGGTTTCACAATAGAAGCTGCAGGTGCCTCTAACCATCTAAACCTGCAGCAACAGTGTGCACAACAAGCATGGACACTAGACGTGTAGCACCAAGGTACAAACATGCACTTTTGAGGCAGAAACTACATTTTAATGACCTCTTGAAGAAAAAAGTTTGACACCAATAGAGCAAGACACAAGCTAGTTAGTTTACCAATAATCCCTAAACCCCTTTACTCTTATAAATTAAGTTACTCACATAAAGGTTCAGGACAACTGACTTGACATCTTAAAGCAAAACAACCTCTCTGTAGCATCACAATGCACATCTTTTTTAGAACTACAACAACAAACCAGTGAAAGTGACAACATCTGCTACCATACTTTCAAAGTTTCAATGCAAACCCAAAGTTCTACATCTGAAACTGTATATTGTAGTCCTAGCTCTAAGCGATCTACAGAGCAAGCTGACAAACCTCATAGGTGCTGCAGACGTCCAGGAGGAAGAAGGAAAGAAGGAGAGGACAGGAGGAGATGGACAGGAGAGGAGGGAAGAGTTCCAAACCATGGCCGGCCATCCAGAGAGTGCAGGAGGGAGAGAAGGAGGAGGGTATGGCAGGGGGAGGGGCTTGGCAGCATGTCAACAACATGGCCAAAGAGGGGGGTCGACAATTGGATTCTCATAGTCCTGCAGCCAATGGCCTGCTGATCCCAAAACATATACACAAACACTTTCTGCAAGCCAGAATGGCTCTTATTCTTTTTTTTTTTAACTATGTACTTTAGATATGATTTCTAGATGAGCTTTGATCCATTTTGGGGAAACCTTGCTGACCACATGGTGATAAGCTCAACTGATACCTCCAAACACTAATCCCACTGCAAACACTTCCTTCTCTTCTAAAGAGCACTTCTTTGGGGGAAATTCACCGAATCAATTTAAAGCCTGGACTTTGCGCTCCCCCCTCTTATGTCTGTGCTTTACATTTGAAACTACAGCCATTTAAATTAGTTTAGCACAAAGTCATCTCAAGGTGACCAACTTGCAACTACTTGCTGACCGAGCCAAGAAATAGTCCGCCACATAACCTTCTTTTAAAATCACCTGTAAACTTTGTTTTTTGCAACGAATAAGCAGAAAATATATAACTTGTTTCCAGTTGATATGCTAGGTTTAGTGGCTAGCACACAGAGATGAGAGTCTAATTTCCCAACTTAAATTGGTCCGGAAAGCATACTTCTCAAAATGTCGTACTGTTCCTTTAACCCTACCACTGTCCCACTTAGCAAAACAAATAAATAAACAGTCCAAAACACGACACTCTGCAATGGAAACCTCACATCAGAGTAAGTGCTTCCCAGCGCTACTGATAGTGTTGGTCCCAGTTAATTTGTCACTTTAAACACTGACAACAGATTTTCTCTCCAATACACACGGGCATGCACACTGACACAAACACAGTTGTCTCTCTCGCTCTCTGGGCGGTCAGAATTCCCTGTCTAATGCAGGGTAATGAGTTTAGACTGCGAACACTAACAGTCTATATAAAGCCTTGGCCCGCTGAGTTGTGACGGAAGCTGTTTCAACACAGCTCTCACTAAACATACTGGCAAACACAGTCGCAAGTTTGTTTGCTGGAGAACTCAAACAGTGAGCAGCACAAGCTGAACTGGGTCAGGGGAGGTGGGATTAAACATGTGAGGATACATTTCTGTCTACAAAATGAAAATAAAACTTTCATGGCTGATTCATCACCGTGAAAAACGAACAACTGGTTCAGTTATTAAAGTCAAAAGTGCAAGTCTCCTGGGTGGTGTAGAAGAATACCAAAGAGAAAGCAAAACACAACCTTTCTCAGGATCAAAGTTCAAGAAGGAACAATACTGCTAGATTGTTTGACTGAAACAAACAGGCAGAGGGCAGTGCCTATCCAAAAAAGTAAATAGAAGACAATAGAAAGAAACATTAATTGATCCACCCGAGTAAAGCACAAAGAATACAATGAAACCGTGAAGAATCTTTTACATTGTTCATTGTTTGTTTATCTTCAGAGAGAAAGAGAATGTTCACCTGACCTTACTTACTGTAAAGAACAGTCCTGAGGCTGCAGTCAGAGAGTGCGTTTACTTCAATATCCAACAACTGAATGTTTGTTATAGAAAGTGAGGATAAACAATCTCTCCTACATCATGATTTTCTGCTCATGTACAGGTTGTTGATTTCCTTTGAAAAGAGACAGTTGTTTCAGAGCAGCACTACATGCTGGGGGCTACTCATAATTACCTGGCATGGTCTCTAATACTTTTTCTGGGTCTCCAAGCAACAGAGTAAACTTGCAATTTCACCTACGATAACAAAAAGTCCCCAGAGGATTACATCCATAATTCACCATAAATGTTTCCTAAACACTGCAAACATAAACATTTTAAGAGCTGCTAAGTTTCAATTCGTAAAGCGCATCTCAGTTAAATTATTAAGTTACTTTAACTCTTCCATACAAAAGTGTGTGTGTGTGTGTGTGTGTGTGTGTTTGTTTGTGCGTGAGGCCTACCTTTGTTCAGGTTGGCTTTGGTCTTGTCGCTGAAGCCCTGGCTGCGTCTGTTCCCAGCAGCACTGACCGAGCCTCTGGTGGGGATGTCACCGCCAGCAGTGGACACCCGCGCTGAGGGGCCAGGAAGTCTAACGGAGAGAGAGAGAGGGAAGTCGCGGAAATAAAAAGGAAGGAAGAAAGAACATATTCAACATATAAAGCCTTCATCCTACACGCATTGAAGGAACACATTAATGCAGGTTTACAACACATTCTGCTGGAACAAATCCAGCTTTCTAAACTCAAACAGGAGGGATCACTTAGTGAGGGCTGAGAGAACAGGGAGCATGCAGATTTATTACATCAAGAGCTTTATGTGGCAGGAAAGAGCAGCACTAGGTTGTTTTTTCATGTTACTGTATAGCTATCTATCACAACATGGACAACACCATGCTAGCATCTACTTTCACATCACATGTTCTAGGCAATCACTGATGAGAAATGGCATAAAGAAAGAAAATAAATTCTTCATTTTAATGAAAAGACATGTTCTGTCTAGTCTAGACCAATGATACACACAACTTATTTAATATGTATGCTCTTTTTAAAAGGATCCCACATAAGGATCACTCTGGCATTGTGATCGATATTGTTTTATACCTTGTGACCTCAATCGAAGCAAAAGAAAGTTGACTGAATTCACTACAAACTTTTGACGTTCTTTATTGATTTCCGAGGTTAGGAGTTCTCTTGCCCTTTTGTTGGTCTGCAAGGTCGAGTATACTTCTAATCGATGCCTAAACTAACCAATCAGTCATCCTGCTGTTTAGGTTTTTGCTGACTTTCTTCATGCTTTACACTACCCTTAAGATACATCCAGCTCTTCTTCACATATTTTGGATAGGTAATAAGATACACGCAGTTTAATAAATGTAAACTCAGCTATGTTTGCACCTACAGTCATCTAATGGAGAGGGATGAGCTCTCAGCAGTGTGACGTGTGTGTGTGTGGGTGTGTGTGTGTGTGTGTGTGTGTGTGTGTGTGTGTGTGTGTGTGTGTGTGTGTGTGTGTGTGTGTGTGTGTGTGTGTGTGTGTGTGTGTGTGTGTGTGTGTGTGTGTGTGTGTGTGACGGGCTGACAGAGTGCAGGTCCCAGTGAGGTGTGAGCTCAACAGCCTCGGATCACATGTCCTGCTCCTTTATTTCCCACATGGCTTACACAGGATATACTGGCCATGGATAAGCCTTGGTGAAATTTTTGACACCTTGATTTCATATGGTAAGTCGCTCCCGTTTGTCTTCGGTTAGGTCTGTGAGCCGAGCTGTAATCTGACCAGTCCGCGGCACACACACCGCTAATGAAATGCTAATTCACAGGCGGTGATATCATCATCATCATCATCATCATCATCATCATCATCCTGGGAATGTGAGGCGGATGCTGATAAGCAGATTACAGCGCTCTCTCTCTCTCTCTCTTTTGTATACATTATAGAAAGTCTAATTTCCGGCATGCCATTCACTTTGGCGGGCCTTTATTCATCTGGCCATTGAGGGATAATAGGTATTACCACATTATTTACTCAACAGAAGCCTAAGATCATTTGGCTTTCAATGATGGCAGGGCAAGTCAGTTTGCTGCCTTCCCCTTTGGACTGGCTGTGTGGAGAAGAAAGATTCTACATCTAAAATGTAAATATAGGATGCAATGCGCCAAAGCTAATACGGCTGTATTCATTCTTAAAAATAAAATACAGGCCAAATAATTTTTTGGGGCAAAACAAGTGTTTTTAAAATGCAATTACATTTGAAGAAATATGTTAACTTCTTTATCTGGGCCTTTAAAAAAGAACGAAAGGTTTTTTTTCAAGTGGATATCAACAGCATCTCAACTCTTCCCCTTGAAGTTAAGCCTGATGACCAGAAGGTGGGGCTGTTACATTGCTTTTGGAAGGAGCTGGTGTGGGGCAGGTGCAATGCATACTGAATTTGGGATGGGCACAGCATGCAAAACCACATCCTGAATCCAATTCCAAGGTGCATCATCACATAATACATTATTGCATGCTTAAATAATATTCAAATGTGAACGCACAAGGACTCTAGAGCATCACAGTTAACGCACACGGCAGCTACATTTGAACAACGCATATTATAGACTCACATTCCAGCCACTACTGTGTTAATTATTAATGTCACATTATATGGGAACCTGCACACACACATACACACACCATTACTTAAGGGTTATCTAAAGGTCTTTCACAGCCCATTTAGCAGGATTGCCAAATGAGGCGCGCTGCCAGACAGACAGGGGACAGGGCTGTCCGAAGATGGAGCCTGGAGCTTTAGTTTCTATTTGCTAAACACTAGCACTCATGCATATTTGGTAGTGCTTGTAGTAGAGGTTGCCCTTAATCTCAGACAAAGAAAAACAACATGAAACTCTTTATAGTACAAAAGAACGTCTATCTTTGATTAGGGGCAATCTCTACCTTCCTATTTCAAGGAAGGGGGCGGGACTAGGGGCGTTGTGGAGGAAGGGGAGGAGCACGAAAAACAGAAAGGCAGAAAACGCTGACCTAGAGGTCTTTTTCTGACCAAGAGAAAACTTGAGCAGTTTAGAGCCATCCCTAGAGGAGGAGAAAAGAGAAGAGAGATATGGAAGAGGACAGAGACAGAGAGGTCAGGTTTACAGTTATAAATGACACGAGGCGTGAACAGGAAGATAGAGGTGACATCATGATGGAATAGAACCGCAGAAACAGCAGGAAAAGTGACAGACAAAAACACCTTCACCCAGTCTCAAGGTTACGGCTCCTATATTTCCTCACCTGGACTGCATCTCGGCCTGTGCTGCTTTCTGGGCTGCGAGGGCAGCAGTCCCATGCGTAGAGTGGCTGAGCTGGGCCGGGGCGCTGCTCTGCGGGCTCAGGGGGGGTGGTGCGCCTGGGGCTGGGTGGTGGGGGGATAGGAGGGCTGCGGGTTCTGCCTCTGGGCCTGCTGCTGCTGCTGTTTGTAGCGGGACAAGCTGAAGAAGAGGCCGAGGATGGCTTTCAGATTACCATTCCGAATCTCTGTGGGTCAGGCAGAAGGATAATGTGGATTAGTAACTAAATAAAAGGAAGGACGAGTGAAGAAGAGAAAAGTCAATAGATGAAAAGTGAGGATGAGAAAATAATTTTACACTTGAAGCATGATGGACTATTCTTAGATAACAAACTGTTCTTGTTGCAATGCATTGTTCAGCATCAACCTGAATGTTTTTTGCTGTCTACTAATGGCTATACCTCTCCAATGTATCTCACATATTGTTTTACTGCAAAAGAAAGGTCTCCATAGAGTACTTGGAGAACACTGAACCAAGGACTGACCCATTGCCCGAATGATGTCATTATTATTACTAGTAATCAATTTGATGTAAACCACCAATACAATTATTTTTTGCAGCAGGCTACATTTAAATACTGGATTAGGCACCGAGGTGTATGGTTCATTAGTTCTATATGTGCTCTAATCAGCGCCTGCTGAGCCCTCATGTGTTGTGTACTGTCTGGCATTAATGTAGTGTGTCCAGGCAAACGAGCTTGCCAATAAAAATGCATTCATGTTTTAAGTTGCCATTTATCTTTTGTTTCCATAGCAGGAAGGGCATTTGTTTATTAGCCCAGGTTTGTGTCTGACTGTTCTTCCGGTGAAAGTCCTGCTTACCCTCTGAAGACAGACCCTGGATGTTGACTCCTTTGGCTGCCAGGAAACTGAGGCAGGCATCGATGTTCTCAATCTGGACAGAGAGACACAGCTGTAAGACACGGCACCCTGCACATTTCCATTCAAATTTGCATATTGGTATAATGTGAGTAAGCGTGCTGGTCTATCGTCTGCACACTTCTCCTGAGAGCGTAATGGCAATTACAAGTCTACTTTTAAAGAAAAGCTGACGGCACAAAATATTCTAATGCATTTACATTTTCAAAAAAGATGTGCTGAAAATTAAATACAGATCAATACATTTTTCAATATCGAGTAATGTATTATTATTTTAATAATACAAAATGCTTGATCTGCATGACATAACAGACAATCGTGATTGACGGATAGTTGCCATAGTTTGTGGATAATGTATAATTCTCGGTTAGGAATATTTGTACAAGCATGACACGTGAGCTGAAGTGAATTAGACTTATGACAAATGAAATGTATCATGTTGTTGTAACAGATTCAGAAGATGTCTCAAATAGTTGGCAGCTATAGCCTGTTACAAATGGTATGGGGAATATGTTATGAGATGTGTAGAGAAATAAATCAAACTAAATCAACATTTGTTAACTGGTTTTCAAGAAATCAGACTGTGGAACAAACAATGATACCCACAACATACCCTTTCTGACAGACATAAACTGACATGCCACTGCTGGAGAGGTGTATGAAAGCGTTACAATGTAGTGACTGACTATTCATATTGTGTTTTGGAAAGCTCAAAATGCAATATTGACCACATGGTGACATATTCAAAACACAGGCAGAGTTTTATCAGCAGTGCAGCAAGAGAGGCAAACCATCAATACCGACACAGTTGCTATGACAGCAGCCTTGGCAACCTGAGCCCAGACTGCTGAGCTGTCACTGCAGTGCGAGAGGATTTGATAGGGAGACAGGCTTTGTTTAGAGCCCATGTGAACTATTATACAGCGAGTGTGCACACAAAGTATAGCACATAAAACAAGTAATCAAGCAGAGTCACAGCAGATTAATGATGGTGCGATCAAAGTTTACCAACTATTGTTTCCAATGAGCAAACACAGCAGGTACAGCGCAACATATATCAATATGGCACTGCCATGTCTTTAAATGTTAGCTGGTGCTCTTGGCAAGTCAATTTACTGAAGAATTGACTGCAAAATTGATTTGAAAGCATTTTACAATATGCACAAAGGTTAAAGAGGTGTTAAATCTTGTTTAGCATGACATTTATTACCAGTGAGAGTGGGTTTATAACACGCAGAGGCCAATCTACCTCCATGTAATATACTTACAACACACCTGTTGTGAGAGTACAATATAATCTCCCAGCCAAGGGATTACAGATATAGAACAGTGATACTGCAGGTAAACTTAAATATATATGAACTGTGTGCTTTGTCAATGAGGCTGGGTGTGGGCTGCAACCGGGAGGGTCCCGCTCAAGATTAATGACATGATTACACTTAATATACACCGACTAAATATAGCCTGACCTACAGCTCCCACTGTAAGGTAGTATCCGACTGTGAGGTGAGCAGCGGAAGTAAAAAGCTCCTTCACATCCCCTCTATTCAAATACGGGATACATTGAATATACATACTGATGACAAACATACTTTTATTAATTTCATTTGACTTCCAGAGTAGCATGTCACATTTAGTCAAATCGACAACCATAACACACAGAGCTGTCACAATATCAGATTTTCACTGCACGATTATCCCAGCCAAAAAACTCTACTAAATATTGCCACATTCAAAGAAAACCTGTTAGAAAGAAGAAGAATATTCTGCTATCGGTCAAATGTATCTTTAACTTTGTTATTGTGGGTTTTGGTTATTTCTTGGCAAATGAATTAAACTTGCACTAAGAGAATAGAGAGTCTAAAATCATAACTGTAGAAAAGGGTATAAGAAAGAACATACATCTATTATTAACACCCTGTACCACTATATAATAAGACTGCAGTTACTATTGGTTACAGCTAACATATCTTTATCAGCATCAATCTGATCCACGTATTACTATTGGCAGTGGTGGAAAGTATTTCCATTTAATGCTACTTTATACCTTTACTTTAAAATCATGCTTTTTACTTCACTACATTTATTTGAACACTCAAAGTTACCAGTTACTTTTTACACATGATTACACTTGTATGCTGATATGGTTTGATGCAGTAAGCTACACAGTATTTAAAGTATCTAAATCTGGTCCAAATTGACCAACCACAATACAAAAATGCTCTTAGATATATAAAAATAGGATAATATTATAACCATCATAATTAAATACTGTGAAGATAACAATTCTGCATAACAAGGATGCTTACTTTTCATACTTGAACTACATTTAGCCGACAATACTTTTGTAATCTACCGTATATTGTTCTGAACACGGATCATTGAGCTGCAAGAGTACTTTTACTTTTTGTACTTGAAGTATATTTTCATGTTAATATTTTTTTACATTTAGGTAGAATTTTGAGATTACAACTTATACTTGTAATGGAGTATTTTAAGACCATAGTATTTGTACATTTACTTAAGAAAAGGATCTGAGCACTTCTTCCAACACTGACAATTAGTTACACTCACAACCACAATAAAACTGACCAACTACCACAACTCTATTATCCACATTTACGACTCAAATGCTGTTACTTCTATCCATTACCACAACACGAATACATAGGCTACACCCTTTACCATATCAATAATGGTTGTATATGTTGCTAACCAGTTGCTAATCCACCATCTCATCCCTAAATTATGTCATACTGCCAGTATCATCAACCCCCTGAACCACCATTACCACTTCTTGTATTTGCCTAATGTTTGCTTAGTTACTACGTGTTGCATTATCTATGGGGGTTACTATTGTACCACATTGTTATTAATCAATACAATCCCGATTACTTCTCCTCCTGGTTTAAACTCAATGTCTCTCTGAGCTAGTGTGTGAAGAGAATTGTGCGTATTTAGCTGATACCGCAGTGCTGGCCCTGCTGTCATTTCCGTGACCTCTGACCCCAGACACAGCTGTGAGAGGGGCTGACATATGCTGCCCTTGGAGGTGATGCAGCAGAAAACATAGTAACAGTAGGAATGCAAACCATCGTCCTCTCTGAATACCACAGACTCTTTAAAAATAAACCTCGCCAAAATACCCCTCTAACCCCATCGGCATACCCAGAGACTCTCTGAAATACCACAGGCTTAAACTTTATTTAAGAGACTGAACCGCTCCCCAACTGTGCCAAATTCCCCGGTAAAGTTAGAGTTTAAATAGCAGCAGAAAATACACATCATTAAGATCCCCCATCACAAATGCCAGGACCGTCCTGCTGAGATGCTCCCCAGCCTCTCCGGGGGTATCCACACTGAAACGCTATTCAAAATCTGCAGAGCCTAGAGAAGCCAGATTAACTATATCAGGAGACGAATCCCTTCATCTATAATGGGATCATAAATAAGTCCTCCTTTGATTATTCTTTCATTGCTGTGTACCAGTGATCAGTCTGTGATGTTCAATACCTTCCATAGCATTTATTAAAGGTCACATTTCTGTAGGGAGTCTGGCCTACAGGTTTCAAATGCTTTACAATTAATTGCGACATCCCCAGTATGAATCCCAATCAGACCTTTAATGTATGTCAACCCCTTATATCCATTCGTTTCATGTCACTTCTAAATGCTAAAAGGCCAACACCGCCATTTTTATACTTATCAAGCCATACCTGATAAACAGAAAATGTATTATAGATCATACTGGCTTGATGTTCTACAAAGTCATTAACAAGTCAAAATGAGAATTATTTGCCATTTAAATGTCTTAAATGCAAGTATATTGTTTCTTACTAACAAAAATGTGCTGGCTTGGGTCCCAGTATTATGTGATGGGCTTGTTAGCATTATTTACAACATATCTTTGGATTTATCTTTAAGCCCTTAGTCATTAGGTCTAAGCAAATTATTGAAACAACACTTACTGATAAACTGATACAAATAATCAACAATGAAAGAAATGGCCAGTCGCAGAGTTGCTGAACATAACCCAGAAGATTTTGTTTCTAATGTCCCATTTTTGGACTCATTTGT